CATGTGTAGGAAGCCTTTTACCCCCACGCAATTCACCTCTCTAAAGGATTCTCAGGGGATACTTAAACAATCTTCGGAAGAGATTATATCTATTCTGGAAAGTTTTTACGCAAATTTATATGGGTCGGACACTATAGACCAGGCACGGGCACACTCCTTTCTTGACAGCGTACATCTACCACAAATAGATCCAATAGCACTGCAATCTCTAAATGCCCTGATATCACAAGCGGATATTTGTCTAGCTATTAGTTCATTAGCCAATGGTAAAGCTCCAGGCCCGGATGGGTACACTTCTGAATTTTATAAACTTATGGATAAAACCCTCTCTCCTACTTTACAGCTGGTATATCAGTCTATTCAGGAGAGCGGGGTATATCTGCCATCAGCTTCGCAGGCCCACATTAAAATTAATAGCCAAAAAAGGCAAGGACCCCTTGGACCCTGGTTCTTATCGTCCGATTTCTCTCCTTAATCTAGATGCAAAGATTCTTTCTAAAATTGTAGCTAACCGTTTGGCCATCATTTTGCCCACCCTTATTCATCCTTCTCAAGCGGGCTTTATGAAGGGGCGCTCAGCCACCTCAAATATCCGCAAAGTGCTCACAGTTCTACATCAGGCTAAAAATAACCCATTACAGGATCTAGCGATCGTTTCCCTCGACGCTGAAAAAGCTTTTGACAATGTAAGTTTTTAATGGCTTTATTCGGTCCTCACTAAATTTGGCTTTTCCGGACCATTCACGCGTTTAATTCAGGCTATGTATTCCGCCCCGACAGCTCAGGTAGTGGTGGTGGAGAAAATATCCAATCCCATTCCATTACATAAGGGAACAAGACAAGGCTGTCCATTGTCCCCCCTGCTTTTCAACTTAGCTTTAGAACCCTTAGCCCGCTTCTTGTTGTTTCAATCACAACTTCATGGCATTCAAATTGCCCAACAGGATCTTCATCTAGCTTTATTTGCGGACGACATACTAATATTCACCTCCAACCCGACTCTAGACTTACCGTACATTCAGTCCGTTTTCGCAGATTTTAAGTGCTGCTCGGGTCTCCGTATTAATTTTGCGAAAAGTGAGGTTCTGCCCTTATATCACGCTTGACTTCCTGAGTGGGCTGGCAACTCACTCTTTAAAATTAATACGAACCATATCACTTATCTAGGTATTAAAATTGGGAAATTAGCCTCGTCCCTTTATTCTCTTAACTATTCACCAGTAATTCAAAAAATTTTAGGGGAATTGGAAATGTGGAAAGAACTGCCATTATCACTTATGGGTAGAGCCCACCTCTTCAAGATTACGAGTTTTCCGAAGCTTCTGTATCCTCTTCAAACTATCCCTCTCCTGCTCAAACATACGGATATAGTCAGGCTGCTGAATAAAGCGATTTCTAGTTTCTTATGGAGGGGGCGCCGTCCGCGAATAGCTATATATAAGTTGTTTCTTCCTAGATGTGAGGGTGGTCTGGGCCTTCCCAACATTAGGCTCTACAATCTATCTTGTATTTTACGGGTATGTGTAGATTGGATCTCCCATTCGTCCGTGTTTTCTAATTACCGACTCGAATCTGCCATGGTGAGCCCATATGATCTGTCGGCCCTTTTACATTCTAATTCTGCCTCACTTCCTCCACATCTTAAACACAATCCACTCATACGGGATACCCTCTTCACATGGAGGGAGGTCAGATGTAGACTAGGAGTTTCTCCCTGGCTGTCTCGCTATCTCCCTATCCATCACAATCCTTCCTTTTCTGTCTCTCAACATCATGCAGCTTATGAAAAGTGGTATGACCAGGGTCTTAGACTTGTAAGTCAGTTGTATGACTCAGCATCAGGATCCCCCCTTCCGTTCCAACAAATTCTTAGCTCGTTTGACTTACCTTCCCATCATTTTTTGTATATTTTGCAAGTTAGGAATTATGTGACATCCATAGTGCAAAACAAGTCCACTCGCTTTTGCTCTACTATGATAGAAGTCCTTGTAAGGAATCAAAAATACAACATATCCAATATATATGGTCAACTGTCTATGCACTATGCAAAACTGCTGGAATCTTATACTTCCGTCAAAACGTGGATACGAGACTTTGACAATGCCTTCACCGCGGAGCAAATGCTCACAGGTTTTAATACTACCTGTGCGTTCAATACGAACGAATTTTGTAGGGAGCAGCAATTCAAAATTATGCACCATGCCTATATGCCTTGCCTGTACTCCCGAGCAGACTCATTGATCTCTACATGTCCGCTCTGTGGTTCATATAAACCGTCACTTCACCACAGATTTTGGAATTGTCCACTGGTCTGTGTCTTCTGGAACCAACTTTTGAACTTTGTGCTTTTCATCACTACTCTCCAGTTACCTAGGGACCCGCTGCTTCTTCTCTTTGGCAATTTGGAAATATCAGTGTCTGCTGCCCCACACCGCCATCTTGCTTTGCTCAGAGCAACCAAACCATGGCTATCCATTTGCTTGATGGCGGCGAGAAGGTCTATTTTGAAAAAATGGGTCTCCAACTGTCCGCCTACCATCTCGGACGTCAAATTGGAACTCAACTTACTACTTCGATTGGATCGGCTTGGTCTGCATATAGCTCCTTCTACAACAGGAGTGGAAAAGTTCAACCGCAAGTGGGGTCATAATGTTTCAAAAGTACTCCCTAGTTTGGAGCCCCCCAGCACCCCTCTCATGGTTTTCTAAACTAGATTTAAGCTAGTTTCCAGGGTATTCCTGATGCATGGTGTTACTATCGCTCAAGGGGTCAACTGATTGCTACATTATTAATGCTGTGTTCCTCTCAGAAATCTCCTTTGCTCTCGCTTTGCTCTCCTTCCACTTCGCCACTCTGGATTATTACTCTCTCTCTTATTTTCCTTGCTGACCTATATGAAGTGGTCCCCTACTATCACATCTTTATACATACTGATGCGCTGCTTCTCACTATACTTTACTATCTCACTATACTTTTACTATATTATTACTTTATCAGTCTATTAATTTTTTATCCTAATCTCTATATCCTGGCATGTTTTCATGGTCCTCTGGCCTCAGACTTTTGGTACATAACTTCTTGTACTCCAGTTCTCCCTTTTTCCTTCCCTTTTGGCATATTCTTTATATGCTGGCTTTTCCAGCTCCTTGGTCTTATGTTCCTACTGTTATATCTCTATCCTATATTTTCACTTTCCCTTCACTTCTTACTCTCATGCACGATGACCTCCCTATTGGTCGATATGACAAATGGTTAACATTGCTCACGTTGCTTATTCTTTTTGCTTTACGTATGATTATATATATATATATATATATATATATATATATATATATATATGTGTGATTTTTCGAAATCCTGCATATTTTAACTTCAAGCCCTTGTACCCTGATATATTACATGTTCTATATTTTCCCATAGATACTCTTCTTTCCAAACTTCTCTACTCCCTCTCGGATTCTTTCGGGGCTTCTGTAATATGTTTATGAGTAAAATTGTTATCCTGGAATTTATTCATCTGATATGGCATGTTGCCACGCTATGAATACTGACAAACCTCATCGTTGGTTATTTTGTGTGTACAATAAAACCCAATAAAGTTTCTTTAAAAAAAAAATGGCCCAGACAGTTCAGCTCTCTGGAGGGGCTAGGGGATATTGGTGGTTTGCACTCACAATGCAGTACAATCCTATTGGATAGGACAGCTGCTTCCTACATTTCTTTTACAAGCTTCCCTACCCCTTGAAAAAATCATGCCAAACTATTGTTGTGTCTCACTCACAATAATCCTCTACAGCCACTGGCACCCAGGTATGGTTTTCCACCTCATCATCCCCACCCTCATCATTGCTTGAGCCCACTTGACAGAAAGTTGCAACTTCAGGATCAGCAATGTCAGTTGCTACACCCTCCCTATTGTTCCCTCTCTCTATGATCCTAATGCTAATGTGAAATTAAAAAAAAAAAAAAACTCCAAGAGAACAAGAAAAATAAATGGAAGAGGCACACAGATGCTAAACAGCAAATGAAGTTGATGCTGGCACACACAAACATCGTGAAAAGGACTGTTGGTTTTATTTACTTTGAACACAGAGGTGTGTACACAATAATATGGCACCCTAAACACCTCAGTTCAGTTCAGAATTAGGTGTTATAATATAGATCAGTTAACACAAGGGATCAGACTGTACTGTAAACCACCACAGAGAAGGGCTAGCACATAAGAAATCCCCCATTACTGACCCTTCTACATCACCTAACCAAAGTTCAAAGGTCAGGAACTTCATGATTGGTAGATGGAGAACAATCACAGTAGTTTGCTATTTTCCTTAACTCCAACTGATTAGAGTTTATGTTGAACCCATGGTTGACCCAAACTCAAATTGTATTCCTACTGTACACCAATTTAAGCTTCTGAATTCATAATGTGAAACCACAACAGTAAACATTACACCCAAATGTGACAAAAATAGAGTTAAAAAGTAAAGAAAAGACTAAATTAAAATACTAAAAATTGTGTAAATCTAAATAATGAGTTCTGTTGCACCTACTGATTGGCACCAAACATAAATAGGTGTATTTTATAAAAAAAAATGTTGCACATATGTGTTATGTATGGAAAACCCTAATTTTTGTGGGATTTTAAAGACACAAACAAAACCAGTAATTAGCCACTTGCCTACAGGGCACTTATACACCCTTCTTTACCAGGCCAATTTTCAGCTTTCAGTGCTGTCGCACTTTGATTGACAGTTGTGCAGTCATGCAAGATTGTACCCATATGAAATGTTTATAATTTTTTTCTCACAAATAGAGCTTTCTTTTGGTGGTATTTACTCGTCGCTGGGTGTTTTACTTTTTGCGCTATAAACAAAAAAGTGCAAAAAATTTGAAAAAAAAAAAAGTTCCTTTGTTTCTATTATAAAATTTTGCAAACAGGTAATTTTTCTCCTTCACTGATGTGCGTTGATGAGGCAGCACTGATGGGCACTGATAGGCAGCACTTATAGGCAGTACTAATGAGGTGGCACGGATAAGCGGCACTGATAGCTGGCACTGATAGGCTGCACTGATGATGGGTACTGATAGACAGCACTGATAGGTGGCACTGACTGGCATCACTGCTGGGCACTGAATGGCGGCACTGCTAGGTATTAATTGGCGGCACTGTTAGGCATTGACTGGTGCAACTGCTAGGCACTGACTGGCACAACCGCTGGGCACTGACTGGTGGCACTGACTGGCAGCACTGCTGGGCTGTACTGATGGACACTGCTGGGTGGCACTGGTGGGCACAGGTGGGTGGCACTGCTGGGCACAGGTAGGTGGCACTTCTGAATGGCACTGCTGGGTACAGGTGTGTGAAACTGCTGGGTGGCACAGGTGGTTGCACTGCTGGGCACAGGTGGCTGCACTGTTGGGCACAGGTGGGTGCACTGCTGGGCACAAGTGGGCGGAACTGGTGGGTGGCACTGCTGGGTACCGATCATCAGGGCACTGATCATAAGTGCCCTGATGATCGGTGCCGATCCCTGCTCTAACAACTGTCGGTTCTCGGCAGTACTTTCCTCACAATCTGACAGCATGAGGAAAGTGCAGCCGAGAACCGGCAATTGGACACGGCTAATTACGTGGTAAAAGGCCGATGTGATTGGCCTTTTACCACATCACGTGATCAGCTGTGTCTGTAGGACACAAGGATCACCGAGATCACGGGGTGCGCGCCCCCCCCCCCCCGGGGCAGCAGGAGAGCGCGTTCTGGGAGGACGTCATATGACGCCCTCCCAGAACTACTCCGCGCAGTGTAGCCGTCATTCAGCTATCTGCGGTCGGCAACTGGTTAAATAAGTAAAAATGTTTACAGGCCATATTTTCTTTATCCAAAATATTAAAATGACCATGAACACTCAAGGAATGGTGGTGATACATTACATAGCTGTTGCAATAAATGCATGGGTGAGAGGAACAAAGAACAATTTGTGCAAGCACTTGACATGTTTCAAGATGAAAAACAATCTCTTCTTCAGAAGTGCCCAAACATGCATGATACCTGTAATGGATATATACTGTAATTATAATTGCATCTCCATACAGCTCCAATGGGAGTTACAATCACAAGTATATGAATGTCACTTACATGGCCCAACATAGGAGCAGAGAACATGAATAAAATGCCAGTTGGCTAAAACCAGAAGTAACGTAGATGTGGCCAATGTTTCCAAGATCCTCCCAGACAGATAAGGAGGGGAAAAAAGGGAAAAGAAGAAAGGGCGTCGACCACTCGCCTCCAAGATAAACCACTTCACCGCCCCGTATGGACGACAGATGGGAATGCCCAGTTTAAAATGATGATTTCTATGAAAATATATAAATGAGCAATAACAAAAAAAGGACACAAAGTAGTGGTGCACTTAAAAATGAAAAAAAGCCAATGTCACTCTTACGGGAACAAAAAAAGATATGTAGTAAAATATGAGAGTTCACTGATATTGCTGAATCTATAAAAGATCACAAATAGTTAATTCAATAAATAGCATATTGCCAAGCCAAGTCAGAGGGAAAGATGAATGACCTGTTCACTGACTACACATGCACTTTTTGGACCCACAAGATGGCATATATATATAGAAAACAGATGGCTTAAGATTGCACCAATCATAGTCCATTACAAATTAACCTGGTGAAAGCAGCCTATTGTCTCATGGTAGTCTGTAGTAGCCACTCCCCGGCCATAAGGCATGTGGCGTCACCTTGCACAACATCAGCGTGATGATGCACATCCGATATCTGATCCGGACATCCAATCCAGAGAGGTGCACAGCTGGAAGGAGGAAAACCAAGCCTTTCTTTGATGGAAAAATCCGCCACACTATCCCCCGGAAAAAAAAAGCTGCCCCAAACTCTGTTACCCTGGGATGCCTGCCGCTGCATGCCGGGGAAGCAAGAAGACAGCAATAAACAAAGAAAAGACAGGGAACTAAAAACTGAAAAAGCAAAAAATATGGGAAAAAGGGGGAAGGAACTGGAAACAATGGCAAATACATCCACATGGTATAGTATCTACAATAAATACCACCTTCAGAATAAACAAAGAAACAACATCAAAATGGAAATGAAATGGAAAAACACAAACTTTGGTGCAGCAAGCACCCCATGATTGTTATACATTAAATGGCAAAAAAAAGGAATAACTATAATATAATGGGAAATTTGGATCACAAAAGTGCTGATAAGCGATGAATGGGAAATCAGAGATCCTTTATACACCCTCCTGAAACAAAGCCTTCCAAAAAGTGCTTGAAAGAGATGGATTCACTGAGGCCAGAGAAAGTTGTAGCATTTAATCTATGAATCCATCTAAGCTCACTCTGAAGCAATCTCTTCTTCCAATCACCTCCTTGTGGACTAGGATGGATTCTATCCAAAATTAAAAATTGAATCTTGGGAAAACCACCCCCATGGACGCCAGCTATGTGGTGTCCCAATGGTACCTCAACATTGTTGGAATTCATAGTGGAAATATGATGATAGGCCCGATGCCAGAACTCCAATTTAGTTTTAGTTTTCCTACATAGAAATAATTGCAATCACAGGTTAGCAGATAAACAATACCTTTTGTTTTACAATTCCCATAATGTTTAGGCATAAACATTTCACCATTGGGTAAAAGGACTGATTTATTGGTACTCATGTAGCTGCAATAATTGCATCCGCTATATGTAAACATACCTCGATATTTACAGGGATCTTGACTTCCTTGTGATTTATATTCACTGTGCACCAAATGGTCCATAACAGAATTAGCTTGTTTGAAAGTAAAATTGGGAGCTTCAGATATAAATTTACTGATCGTAAATATCAATGGTCAGTAGATGCCAATATTTTTGCACAATTTCTCTAAATTCAATATGTTGGTTTGAAAATGTTGTTATTATTCGAACATGGTTGTTATCTTTTTTGTTAGTAGATTGATAGAGTAAAGTATGTCTAGATTTGTTATATGCTTTTTTATAAGCCTTTTTAAGACATGTGGAGGAGTATCCCCTTACCAGAAGACGTTGCTTCAATTTATCTGCTTTCTTCTTAAAGAACTCATCATCCAAGTACTTACGTCTAAGGCATAAATATTGGCTGTAAGGAATGGAATTTACAAGAGAACTTGTAAGTAAGCTGTTAGCATGTAAAATGGTATTGCCTGTAGTGGACTTGTGATAAAGAACGCTACCTAAGGTACCATATTCATTTTTAGAAATCTGGACGTCCAGAAAAGAAATTGTTTTACTGTCAAAAGACAGTGAAATTTAAGTTAAGGTCATTGACACCAATTTTCAAGTTTTTAACTTGACAATCAAACCCTCCCGTATCATAAACACATCGTTGATGTATCTATACCATAACGAAGTCAATTCAACATAAGGGTCCAATTCAGTAGTGTCCATAAGGGTACATTCCCACTCCTCTAGGTAGAGATTGGTGAAGGATGGGGCATAACAAGTGCCCATTTCTACTCCCTGTACCTAGAGAAAGTGGGAACCATCAAACACTAAAACATTATGGTGCAAAATAAAATGAAGTGATTCCACAATGAATTAATTAAATCGCAAGTTGTCACAAATGTTTTGAGAGAGAATATGTCTAATACAGGCCAAACATTTGGAATGCGGTACGAAACTATATAGCTCCTCGAAGGGCTGAAGAGCAAATTTGAAGTCCATCAATGATTTCGAGTAAATGGATGGTATCCTTCACAACATAAGTAGGTAAACTTGTCACATATGGTCTTAAATGGTCATCAATTGATCTACATAGATTTTCAGTTAGTGAGCCATTACCTGAAATTATTGGTCTACCAGGAGGTATTTTAGGATCTTTATGTACCTTAGGTAAAGACTAGAAGGTGGGAATGTGGGTGGGAAAAACTAACTCTCACAGATTCCCACTGAGTTTTGGTGACAACACCATTAAGATAAGCTAAATCAATAAATTGGATAGAAAAAAATCATCTTGAAATTTATGGATCAGCGTAGTTGGTATGGGGTGATACCATTCCTTATTTTGAAGAATGTATAACACATGGACAGATATTGCTTATTATCCATAATTACTATTTTTCCTCCTTTATCAAAAGGCTTTATAGTGATATCCGGATTGGCCGCCAGATCCTGCATTGTTTGTTTTTCTTGTGAGGACACGTTTCCCTGTGAGGGGTATATTTTCAATTGGTTAATTTCCTGACTAGTTAGTTTAGCAAAGACCGCAACATTAGGGTTTAATTTTTTCTTATTTTTGCTAATGCTAGTATTAACCCGGTCTGGAGGGTCAAATTCCTGTAATATTGTTTCAATAGCTGTTTCAATTTTCAAGAGCTGTTTTGGTTATTCCACGTAATCTTTATGTTTTTTGGTGCGCTGAATCCGAAAATGACCTCCATTTTGTCATAGGACATCACGTTTCCTGACAATTTAGGTAAGTATGTTAAATAAGGCAATACCTCAAATAAATGGAAATAGACTTATAAAGTTAAAGTTTTATTACAATTTTTTCATGAAAATCCTTTTTTGAATTGAAATGAGCTCACCTACACACACTAAACTCGATTCTTCTTCCCTGTGAGGCTCCTCTTGGTGCATTTACGCTTGAGAGAGTAGCATCTGGAATGTCTCTCTGAAGCATCCAACAGTAGTCTACCATCATTGTAATGCTCCATTTTCCCTGGTATCTCTTTTCCATCTCTTTAATGTCTTGGTGGAATCGTTCACCTTGTTCCTCACTCACAGCTCCCAAATTGGAGGAAATGCACTTACAAACTCATCAGGCAACCTAAAGCTTGAAATGCTTTCAGCATTCGTCCAAAGATCTTTTTGTAGTGAGGATCTTTGTTATTGCCTAAAAATTTCTGTACAACTTCTTTAAATGCAATCCACCCTTCTTTTTGAGGATTCGTCATGGTATTGACAAACTCTTGATCAACTATAAGCCTTCTAATGTCTGGTCCGACGAACATACCTTCCTTCAATTTTGCCTCCGACAGGCCTGGTAAGTTGGTGACCAAGTATTTGAAGCATTCTCCATCTCTTGGAAGTGATTTTACGAATTGCTTCATCAATCCCAATTTTATGTAGAGAGGTGGTAGAAGAACTTTATGGGAAGGTACCAAAGTTTCCTGGAGGACATTTTTTTCACCGACTGTTAGCACCCTCGGCTGCCAGCTCTTCTTGGTCCAGTGATTTTGTCAGTCTCGACTGTCCCATAGACACAGAAAACAAGGGTATTTGGTATCCCACCCACTGGATTCTTCAGGAAAGATTAACCCCTTCTACCATTAGAAGCACAGACTCAGGGCTGAGGATTACACATACAGCATGCTGCTGAGTATCCCAGTAGTCAGACATATTACTGAGAGCAGCACTTGTATTCACCCCTTTGCAGGGAGGGAGGGGCAGAGATTGTTTACCTGCAAATAACTACAAAGGGCCAGAAGAGAACTAGGGAAATGAGGAAATAGAATTTTCTTTTTCCCTAAAACTTGCTTAGCTTATGTATATATTGC